AAGCGATATTTTACGTTATCAATTGCATATCGTTTATTGCTTGTACGTTAATAAACGTTGTAATATATAAATCATCAGTAGTAACCTATGTTACAAGAAAATGAAGAAAATAAATCAATATCATTCTCTATAACAAAACACACAACACCAGCTAGACAATTTTAGTGATTTACAGTGGTTTCAGAATGAAAAAATCTTTATTCTTTCAAAGACAATTTCCAAAGCCACCGATTTGTGGGTCTTTGAAAACCGTGAAAGTTTTTTACTGCGCCAAAATAATTTATTTCATTTCGTTCACGAATAAATGAGAAGTGTTGCCGCAGAAAGGTCTTCCCCTTTCCACTCCCCTCCTTATTCAGTCATTTTTGAGATCAGTCATAAACAGTTTCCTTCATAATGTATAGACCGTGGAACCGACATGAGGTCGTAAATTAAAGCATTATCCCTTTGAGCACTGTAACCGCACCCGTGGGTCATACCAAACTAAATGGCCTACTACATATTATATTATCCTTATTATTGTTTATTAATTATTTTCGGAGACTAAGAACTGTATAAAAATTGTCCTGTGAATCAAGAATTTTGTAATTCAGAATTCGACCAGTAAAATATTATCCTGTTTCTTAAAATGAACCAAAAAGAAAAACTCTGTCTTCAAGCTTATTTTAACGTGTTGAAACACGGTTAAGCGGCGTCACTCAATGCGTCATTTATGGATTATTATTTAAAATTTTTGCTTATAATCTTGCTCGATGTTAATTACCGCATTGATAAAAATGAATCTGTAGGTGTTAATGATTAAAGTGCAGACAAATTCTTTAAATGTAGCGCAATGGAAGAAGTAATTCTAAGCTGACATTGTCGAACCCTAAATCCCTCTAAACCCTAACCTTCAACGAATCCTGGTCCTTCTTCCCACGCATTCCTAACTGTTTACTATGGGACCCTTAAACCGGTGCGTTCCCACTTCCCCACAAAATCCTTATCTGATCAGCGATAAATTCTCTTGACTTTTCCCAGACGAATGTGTTCCTGATTTCCCCTCCCTCAAAAAAAACCCCCAAAACCCTGGTATAAATACTGCCCCAAAAAGAACAGAAGAACACTCGCTATCCTGCGGTCAGTAGAAACATTGAACGCGTTCAACGAAATTGTAATCGAAAGTGAATAGAATAAACTTTATTCTAAAATCTACACCGTTTAAGTGATTCGAGGACATCATACAGTCATGAACGAGGCTTGAGCTCCTTATCTCCCTCAAACTGCTGTTCCGACGCTTGAATTACGCGCACTTTGACACCTGACTGATTTCAAGACATCGCTGCATCGGTTTCACCGACACATTTCTTGTAAAATATACTACGTCTGCGAGATATTCAATGCTTAGAGAGATGAAACAACTTCTGTAGGAAACGATAATTTATGAAATTTGAGGAGTTATATCGGCCTTTAAAAATCAGCGTCAAACACTTTGCGACTGTCCTCTGTAAGAGTTACATTATAAAGGCAGCTGCCATATTGAAAAGTGTCTTGTTCTTTGTCGTAGGTAACAATAATTCAAGATAAAGTACCCAACGATTCTTCACAAAATCTTTGCAGAGAGAATCTTTTAATCAGATAACACGCAGGACAATGGATCTCCATTAGGACCAAGTACCTTTTCTCGGAAAAACTTTCGCCTTGGAACCCCCTGCATTTCATAAGCTATATACACGTGAAACTTGAGCATAGTTTCCGTCGGATTCTGTGGCTTTGAACTGAACAACCTAAACATTGAAACCTACTAAATCCAGTGTTTATTATTACTTGAAGATTACCATTTGTTTATTATTACTTAAAGATTACCATAGAAGCTTAGTATGAGTCGTCTACCGTGCATGTAATAAATTTCGATAGTAGAATTCCAGATGATATCTCCATCAATATACCAGGAATCGATTCGAAAAGTAAATAATGCGAACGGATCGTTAAAAGATCGTTTAGCCGTACTGGACTCGAGGCAGATCATGTTACGTTTACATCAACATAACGAAACATAACACTCTTCGCGCTAGGCCTTGAGACGAAATTTCTACACTGAAAATAAAGTCTGTAGAAAATATATATAATAATCAAATTGTTAGACAATGGCAATCATCATCCGTGTTTCGAAATTTCCGGATAAAAATTTGCAAAAACAAAAAAAAAAAAGAAACGTTAGACGACAACGCTTATCTTTTACTAAGTAAATGTATAATTTATTGTTGTAAAACATAAAATAAGATAAAGAAATTTTGAATAAGGAAAAATGACGAAGAACGTGCATGTTTTATTAAAGCATCGCTTGCCATGATGCAAGATATCGAATTATATAAATCTCAGCTCGATGAATTGATAACTTCGAAGGAAACAGGAAACGATAGAATTAATTGCAACTTAAGATACCAGAGAGCAAATTTTACAATTATTTATAAAATCCAATGGCATAACAAAAAGAAGTAAAGTCGTTATTAAAAATGCGTATAACGTGAATATTCTTTTTCGTTCATAGGATTTGATACAGGTTCAATTACAACATAGTTAATGTTTATATTAACTTAAAATACTTGCTTTGTAGAAGGGATAAATATCCCTCCGTTTGTACAAGGTAAAAATTTTAATCGTTTCCATGTAATAGTTACAACATCAATTAAGGATCTTTATAAACACATCATTTACATAACACAATTAATGCAAACACTACTAAATAAGTTATTTTACGAGCACTTGACCGATACAGTTCAAAAACATTCGGCTAGCAATTTTATGATATAACTACCTACCTTTGTTACAACTTTGTATTCTTTCGCAAATGACGCGCATTACTCGGTCACGCGAACATCAATATTTAATTTTTAATGTTTACATAATTTCCTTGATAAGAAAAGTATGTGTATATATTAGGTGTACAAATTAATTCGTGGCCGTTGCGATTAATCAGCTGTAACTTTACTTTGAATTGAATCTTTTTTCCCGCGTGTTAGAATTCTGAAGTTGCTTCTATTAACAAAACAAAACACTATCGGACTAATGACATAACCTAAGAAACAGCGGAGAAAACTACACTGCATCCTTTTTGCATTTTAACTTAAAAAAAATGCTCTTGAAGCGAAAGGTCTTTGGGATGGGAAATTCTGCCTTATGCGGCTTATTCCCCAGACTTAGCTTCATTTTTTTTAATAATTCTTCGAGAAAATCTTTAATTTCCTACCAAGCTAACAATTTACTAAAAAATATCTACGAAATTTCGAAATTCCTCTTTGTTTAACGCGTAAACACAGGCCTAACGTAGATTTCTTAAATCCTAAAACTGTTCTAGAGTCGTTTCGGTGATTTCTCAATTAAAAAAAATACCTTGTATAAAGCGTGTCTGCAACTCCTACAAAAGCCTAACGTTTCCAGCGGGACCTTTCTCTGAATCCATGGCAACGAGTGTTTCAAGCAGTCACTCGGGTTACTTAAGCTGCAATCAAGACGTGTCAGCTTTATCCTGATCTTGATTTTCATACCGCAATACTTATTATTCGATATATCACATTCGGCAGACGTCACCGACATCTCTCCTCAACGAATATATACCTGCTATTTCACGGCTTCCATTACAGACTGACTGCTTTCATAGGCCTTGAGAACCCTTACGTTTGGTGGGGATGCGTGCCCTTGCGGGTGACGGACCACTTGAATTCTGCCCGCTAATTGGTCGTATTTTTGTCGTGTAGCAGCGTCTAAACCAAGATTGGAGCAAACGGTCATTCGCGCTCTTCCTTTCATACCTTATCGCTTACCTACACGGTCCACCAAGTTACGGCTGTATTCTTATCACGTGGTCGGATCCGATTATGCTTAACCAAACTATTCTTTGCGTGAATCTAATATAACGTTGCAAATTTGCTTTACTACAAGTGTCCTTCTTTAACACTAACCGTACCGACACTTTATGTATACCGTATCCGGTCAAATGACCGGTTACGAAATAATCATATTTCTTCCTAAAGGAATACAGGTGATTGTCAATTTAATATAGGGAATAATGCAGAAAATAGCCTTTAGATAATAATAAAAAAAAAAGATAAAGATAGTGCATGATTTTAAATCGAAATTTTAAAAACGGTTAGTGTTAAGAGAGTTTCCCGCGCACCTGGCCAAGATAACCGAATAATAATATTAATAGTGACTCTTCCTGCAAGATAGTAACATTGAGCGGATAAAGGTCTTAGGAGGATAAATATTTTTCGAACGTATCTTTGAAACGAATGAACATCATTTTTTTTTATCAAGGAAAGGGTGGTAAGGCGCTCCCGACCACCAACGAATTTCTTGTCAAATAGTAGTACATGCATATACAAGAATCGCGCAAAGCGCATTCGACGGTCAGTCTATCTCGAGTTTTTCGTAAATGCTTGCAATGTAAAAATTTAGAAATTTGTTAAGTACTTTATACATTGTTCAGATTTTAAATGAAACGTGCCACGTGAGACCGTAAAGAACAGTTGTACTTCTGGCGTACACATTGGTCAAGTGACTTTATATTCACAATAGAATTACGAGGCAACTGGCGGAACAAACCCCTCGGGGTTGTAAAGAGCCTCGAGTTTTACAACGGCAGAACCCATCGAAACAAGAAACCTTTCGTACGCTCACGTTTTACAGGAACCTGGGAAAGCTCACTGTAAAAAAAAAAAAAAAAAACGAGACGATATTCGATATCCATGTTCTTCAATATTCTCTATTCAATATTCTTCAATATATTCGTATTTACATTAATTGCAGAATTTTAATTGGTGATTAAATGGTAATGAAGTAAAATTGAAATTCATTAATTTCGAACTTTGAAATTGCAAATTTCAACATTGTAAAATGATAAATCATATTTAAACATATTTTTATTACTCGTTTCATGAAACATTAATTATCCCTGATATTTAATTTCTAATTACATGGTTTATGTGTATAGTGATGGTTCATTACGATAAACTTAGTAAATAGAACAGACTAGTGGTAATGAGGGTAAAATAAAACTTGCGACATAATTCCAGGGTGGACTTGGTGAACTAGTCAGTAAAATCTGATCTGGAAAAAAGATGACGTTATTTAATACATCGAATTAAATAATTATCAAGTTGAAGTTAGGTTAGGTAGGTTAGGTTGATAGTTTCTTCTTTACATAACTAATTGTACTAAATCAGATATTTGTATTGAAGGGGACCTATTAATAAAATTAGATCAGATTATAAAGATAATTATTTTGTAGACATTTATTTAATCTAATCGAGCACGTCAATTCATGTGTTCGATTATGCTTAAATATGCAATGAAATGTTTTTTCAAACTTATCCAATTTCGAACCTTACGTGCCTTTGAATGTTCGAAATTGTAGTCCTACCTGCCAAACTAGATAGCAAGAACTTTAATTATAATAAATACAGTGCGTAAAATCACGTTTATTAAAAATGACTAATTTCAATTGTTTCAAACATTACGAATTGTTTTTCCGAATTGATTTGAAATTTGTGGTGAATGCAAAAGTGATTTCAAAATAAAATCGAATTTTACGATCGCAATCAATAGTAGTATCAAACTTTTATGGTTTTCACTTTTCGTCTTTAGAGTTAGAAAAAATTTTACTCTCAGATGAAAATGCTTTGACCCAAATAATGTTAATCAAATGGAAAAGGGGAACGATAAGGCTATAATACATTTTATTTTATGCTTTTTACAAGATATAAAAATATTGCCATTAGAATAAATAGCTTCATAAGTTGTGAATAAAATGCGTTATATAAATACATATGTATGTACATATATACAGATTATATAAGGTATTTAAAAAAATAATAATCAATATTTTTAAAATAAAAAATTTACAACAGTATATATTTATATACACAACATTTCTTTGAGTAACGTAAGATTATTTTGTAATATAGTAAATATTAAATTGATATTAGTATAATTGCATAATATCGTATGTCGATATTGCATTGTTAATTCAACAAACAGTGACATCTAACACAACGCACCGTGAACTTTACTGTTTTCAACCATGTTGAGCAAGTCAATGCACTTGGATCATTGTTAGCACGTTTAGTGACAAGAATCTAAAAAATTTTAATTTAACGAAATATCGGTCTGTCCTGTTAAATGTACAATTGACCGATAAGAAGTTCATGTTGTAGCAATTAAGTTAGTCGCGCGCGAAGATTGGTAAGCGCCTTACAAACGTTTGCAATGCGATTTTAAGGAAAACAACATAACCTCTCTCTCTCTCTCTCTCTTTCTCTTTCTTTCCGTCTGTCTTTTTAACACGAATTCTCTTTTCACATCACTTTATGTCATATCGAGAATAATTTCTTCTGTTTATTTCGATGCATTTTGTGCGATTAGCAAACACTTCTAATCGTCTACAGAATTTTGATAAACAAACAGTTTAACTAAACAACTTTGTGCTATCAGTCGTGTTGCGATCATGTGCTGGGATAGAAAACAAGGAATTTAATGTCGATTGAAAGTACCAGGGTAGATCGTAAAAGGTGGAAAGGATGCCGAGTTGTGGCGGTCTGTTCAGAATCATTAGACGGCGCCTCGTACTTGGGCTGATCTTCGCTTTATCGCTTACCTACTGCGCCTTTTCACTCTTTCGAAACGAGGTAATTCATTGATAAAAATAATGTCGAAACATTTTATATAAATAAATGGAACCTTACACAATCAAGCACATAAGTTTTATCTTGAAATGTAGAACAAAATATTATTTGATCCCTAGAGGAAGACGTTAGCTTTGGATAATGATCTTGACGATATGGATCCTATGATGATTAATGACAATAATGATGACTTGATTTCTGATGATGATGCATTATCGGAACAATTAAGAGCATCTGGTAAACCACCACTGTGGCAGATGGCAATTGTTAATCAAGGAGCAAACGACAATGCATTAAACATGGAAGCAATGTCAAATTTAAATGATACAGATACTGCGGGTCATCCTTGTCGTAATTCTGTCCAGGTACATACAATTCTGGAATAATGGACATAGTACTTGATATAAATTGACATTACTTATTTCTTGTTGTTCTGGTAGGGCAAAGTTTTAATAGTAGATGAGCGTGGCATTGTATGCTCTAGACAAGATATTTTGCCAAATGGCTGTTGCAATATGGAAGAAAAAGATTCCATAAGAAATGAAGATACAGCGACTATAATCAAGAGAGAGAGGTATAGTTGTAAAACATGTAATGCCCAAGGGTGCTGTGCTATCTATGAATATTGTGTTTCCTGCTGTCTAAATCCTGGCAAGGTGGTTTTTCGTTTTTTTTTTCTTTTTTTTAAATCTTAAAGAATAACAAAGGTACTAATATGGTATTGTTATTAACAGCAAATAAAGGGAAGAAAGGATGTGCTGTTAGGTTTGCTTAAAGACAACAACAAAGCACACAAGGACCAAGACGTGGTGAAGAAACGTATCCGCAATCTAGACCGCTTTCAAGTTTGCCTGGCTGCGTGTCGTACTTCCAGCGCAAGCGTCCGCCATGAGAATACCTACAAAGATCCACATTCGAAGCATTGTTACACACTTCAGCCACCGTATTCACATCAAAGACATCGCCGTGATGTTGATTCGTTCAATAATAATGGCGACAACTCTGTTGTCGTTGCATCTTTTTCTGTCATGCCGTTACTTACCTCCCTCTCTTCCTTCTGTCTAACATTACACGCACACAACAATTCGCTCTCACTATCATGCAACTATCACACACCAGTGTCATTCGATTATTACTCTCACGTACAACCACCTTGAAATACAAATAAATTTACCCCACAGCGTTTTTTCATAGAGACGATTGAAGTCCGCGTACTAGGCTACTTTTAATACGCCATACGTCCTGATAGCTTATATCGATACCAGGATATCGTTTACGCACGTACTCCAGGATTTCGTCCTCGATGCGATTTTGAACAGATTTGCTTACCTGATTGAGTTATTTTTTATGATTATTTCAAAGAAATAGAATCACTTGATTTTTACTCCATAATTTATCACTTACATCCACGTATTGACATTCTGTCGCCGAATAATGGCAAGAAATCGATCGTCTTGTTCTTCTTGTTTTGTTTACGCCTGATCCATGAATTAACAAGGGATGAAAGAACACTGTATCACCTGGTTCCATCTCGAGATATATCCAGTCTATCTTCTCAGGCAAATCCTATGAAGAGAAGAAAAAGAGAAGTTCGGTCTCGTGATTCGAATCGATAAATTGCGTTCAAATTCGTACCAGGATGCCGTGATAGAATTTGTTGACGGAACCTGGCTCAGATCCCGGGGGATAGTCGTGTTTATGTAAACGATTTAGTGCATGTGTGCCAGGAGACACATAAAGACATCCATTATCACGAGTACACGATTCCATGGCTGTCCATGCTGCCACTATCAAGTTGGCTGGCCGGAAGGGGAAGTAATATAAATCCTGATGAGGAGGATGTCTGGAAATATTTATTCCTAAACTGTTTACAATTTTCAGTAGACGATCAACTAACTACCTTTCTTTTCTTCTTCTTAAGAAAATCAGTATTTTCTCCAAAGAATTAGAAAAATTTTAGAAAGTTTCCTAGCTTTTGTTTAATTTTTAAATATTCGAACGAGATGATCTTCAATTGAAATTATTACACGATAAGAAATTTAAGTATCTGAATGATATTACACTATCAGAAATGTTCGCTCAAAGATAGTTCTATTAGGCTACTTCAGATCAAAGAGTGCTTTGGCACTGGAACAAATGGCACCGGTTAACAGAAAAAGTCTTATCCATCTTCGTGACAATATTTCGCCACAAATCGCACATTTGATGATGCAAAAAACTTGAATGGTCTCGTTCGTAAGCTTTTACTATACCATACTATCTCAATTTCTATCTTTCGAAATCTCCCTTAAAAAAAAAAAAAAAGAAACAAATATCTCACGAGTTACGATAACAGGAGAGGATGCACCTGTAAAAATTCGCAAGCTCTGTAGTAATATAAGGATCTTTCACGAGGAAGATTCTTAAAACAAAAAGTGTCTAAGAAAAAAAAAAACGAGCGTTCTTTCGTAATCGAGGAAAAGTAAGGAACCGAATCGATATGTACTTGGAAGTACCGAATCCAATGTCGGGTGGTTTCGCGATAAGCATACTGTTCACAGCCATGATGTTCGGCCCGGTGAAACCCTCGACGATATCGAGGATACTTTTATGCTCGATGTATTCACGGAAAACTTCGTCACGGTTTATATCCTGCAATTTGTTGACCGACTTTCTGTCCTTCACGTCGTACATCACTGTTATTCCTTCGCGTGGAGCCTTGCCAGCCACGATGTCGTCGAACCTGAAAAGGTAATTGCGTATGAATGGTCTAGGAACGAGAAGAGAAAGATCGATGCGTAAATTGCGCAACGACGACTTGTTCTGCTTCAAGTCACATTAACAAAAATTACCAACATCGGCCGCCACGTCGCGGACAATGATTCGTTTCCACGGTGAAGTGATTAATTATTCAAATTTCAGGTTTGCACATCACACGGTTGAATTATTAATCGAACGATACGTACCGATTGCAAGCTGACAAATTTGTCGAAATTTCACGACAGGGCATCGATATTTTTCGGGAACTTTCGAACGCGTATATACATATACATTACTCATACGGCGTTCTGTTTAAAATTTCAGCTATTTTCGGTACCGTTCGCGCACGGTTTATCTCGCGAGAAATTTATCGCCAGTTCTTTCTTGCCTTGCTAAATTCATTTTCGATACTGTTCGGTTGTTTTCTCATTTTTGTCGAAATCGACGTTACCTCTGATGACACTTGTCGAGAAGCTCTTGCGGCAGCAAACGCGGAAGCAGCAGGTATCCATTTTTCTCGTAAAACAGACGTTGACTTAAGGTCAACATGTTATTGTTTTTCGTGAAACGCAGCATCGGCCCACTTGGTGTCATTTTTCCAGAGACCTCTCGTACTGTAACAATATTAAAAGGAGCATCGATAAATAAATGCAGCTGTGAAATGTTTCACGAGTCGAAATCGATGGTGTGTAAAAATTTTCATTATCGTTACCTTTTTAGTTTGCTTAAAACAAAAATCGAACAAGCATTTCAGTAATTAAAGTATAATTAAATACGTGGTAAAAAGTCTACGAAAATACGCAGTCTAAATATTACCAAAAATTTTCACTATTTTTCATTTTGTCTGAAATAAAGATCGAACAATTATTTCATTAATTAAAGAAATAATGAAATCCACTGTGAAAAGTGTATGGAAACACTCTGGAGACAAATGATTTCCGTCATTCCGCCTATATTTTACCTTCGAGCGTAGAATATTTCCCAAGTTTCAACGTCCACGCTACAAACACGTTTGCCTGCGGTTTAAAGTTATCATTTTGCGGTTACCGCATCCTAGATCGGATCAGAGAACTACTTTTCTAGGCTTGTGAACTATTTCCATCTTATATAGTGTTCGAATTTCGTTCAGTGTTATTTAACAGTGATCCGACGAACGAACGAAAGATTTCCGACTATTTCGAGTTAATCGAAGTGTCCGTGGAGCCACGGAGAGCCCCAGTGAAAATACCCTCACGGGATGTAAATCGACATGGTAAAGACATCTTCGTAGTTAAAACAGCTGACAACGATATTGGCTTTCTCGTAAAAATGTCATTTGCCCGGGTTTCTTTTTTTTTTTTTTTAATACAGTCTTCACTTTGTAATACGGTATCAGCGGAGAACGATATTAGCGCGGATCTTTTATTTATCGTTTCTGGGTCCAATTCACAGCGGTACGTGAAAAGTCTATGGACTCTCGTTCTCTGATTGGTCCGTCGGTCGGGCATACTTTGAAATGTTTACTGACGTTCCTATTGAATTGGCCTGTAATAACGACAAGAAATGTTACGTTTTAGCACAGAGGACTGTATTTTTAGATTCTTATTACAGTGGCAGGAAATAAATTTTTAAGTGTATTTTCATCGAGGAAGTACACAATGAATAAAGTATTTTTTATATTTTTTCGTTTTTAATGGAAAATGTCCGGACTTTCTTTTCTTTCTTTTTTTCATTAATTTTTACAAGTTTGTACGTAGATTTTATTTGATGTTTATGTTGTGAGTCGAGTGGTGACAGAGTTTTTTTTTTTGAAGGTTTCAAGACTCTTCCAACCAGGAAATAAATCATATATAGAGAGAATAAAAGAAGTACACGGTGGTAATCGATGAAAGATCGGTGAATGACCTAATACATGCACGTGTACGATAGTGGTGATACATTTAACGTTGCTTTTACGTCGATTCTATCTCTCATGCTACATTTCTGTAGAATTGTAGCGCAATTTCATCTACACGTACATAAAAATACCTTCATATTGATCGATCAGGTCAATTGTATCGGCCTTTCACGTAAGCCAATTGATCAATCCAATTTTTTTCATTTTTTGTTTAAAATAATTAGGAAATTCCATTAATCAAGTATCAGAAACAAAAGGAAAATGTAAATACCCAAGGTTTCAAATAATTTCATTAAACAATGTTTTCTCAATTCCGTCAAATATCTTCTCGTAGATCGACCAATTGATTAACTCGATTATTCCATTTAAAATGATTAGGAAGTTTCATTAATAAAATAGAAGTAGAAATATCTCAAATAACGATTTTTCAATTGCTTCAAATATCTTCTCATAGATGGACCAATTGATTAATCCAGTTTGTTTCACTTTTCACTTAAAATAATTAAGAAATTCCATTAACCAAGGATAAGTAACAAAGAAAATAGAAATATCTCCTTAAACAACGATTTCTCAATTGTGCCAAATACTTTTTCACAGATCGATCCAATTGATTAATTCAATTATTCCATTTAAAATAATTAGGAAACTCCATTAACCAAATATTAAAAAACAAAATAAAAATAGAAATATCCAACCTTTAAAATATTTCATTACACAACGATTTCTAAATTGCCTCAAATACCTTCTCACAGATCGATCCAATTGATTAATTCAATTATTCCATTTAAAATAATTAGGAAACTCCATTAACCAAATATTAAAAAACAAAATAAAAATAGAAATATCCAACCTTTAAAATATTTCATTACACAACGATTTCTAAATTGCCTCAAATACCTTCTCACAGATCGATCCAATTGATTAATTCAATTATTCCATTTAAAATAATTAGGAAATTTCATTAATCAAATATTAGGAACAAGAAGAAATAGAAATATCTAAAATAACGATTTCTGAATTGCCTCAAATGTATTTTTATAAATCGACCAATTCATTAGTCCAATTATTCCATTTTAAGTAATTAGGAAACTCCACTAACCAAATATTAAAAAACAAAATAGAAATAGAAATATCCAGCCTTTAAAATATTTCATTACACAACGATTTCTAAATTGCCTCAAATACCTTCTCACAGATCGATCCAATTGATTAATTCAATTATTCCATTTAAAATAATTAGGAAATTTCATTAATCAAATATTAGGAACAAGAAGAAATAGAAATATCTAAAATAACGATTTCTGAATTGCCTCAAATGTATTTTTATAAATCGACCAATTCATTAGTCCAATTATTCCATTTTAAGTAATTAGGAAACTCCACTAACCAAATATTAAAAAACAAAATAGAAATAGAAATATCCAGCCTTTAAAATATTTCATTACACAACGATTTCTAAATTGCCTCAAATACCTTCTCACAGATCGATCCAATTAATCCAATTTGTCTCACTTTTCGTTTAGAATAATTAAGAAATTTCATTAACCAAATATAAATCCAAAAAAAAAACACAAAAAAATAGAAATATCTCATTAAACAACGATTTCTCAATTACTTCAAATAATACAGAATTTATCAGAAACGGCAAATCGTACAAGATTATATCACCAACCCATTATCGAACCACCGAGTTCCACTTCCATTTGTCCCGAACGTCGTTCTTTTCATGAATTTCCAAAACAGAGAGAGAAAGAGAGAGAGAGAAGGGGTGACACACAAGAAGTCAGTATAATCCATTCAGCTCGGAGATTGCAATTCGAAAATATGCTGTCGACGAGAGGTCTGCATTGCAAATGCAGATACTGGAACACGGAACGAAGCTGGGACCTACTGGGAACTACGAAGACGTAGAAAATCGAATTGCGCGGATATCTGATGCACGAGCCAGGCTCATTTCCATAACTTCCCCGGCGGGGGAACCATAATGTTGCGAAAACAATTAGTTAATGGGACGTGGGCAAAGTTTACGCCGCGATCGAGTTACGGTTTAATAGAGTCAGAGCATTTTAAATTTCTATTGCCTCGTGGCTAGATATCGGCCTATTGTGCTTCGAAACTATTGTTCGAATTACTCGGCCCGGTAACGCATGTAATCGTCCACTATCAAACGTTGCAATTCAATTTGTTGAATGGATTGATGGATAACTAGATCGATCTTCACCGAAGATACACCTCCTTTCTTCTCTGCTCAAACGATACTACTAACGATTCACGTTTTCATTCACTGAAAATTAATGCTTCACGTGCGTGCACGTTTTTGTAGAGATAGTAAGAGTGTTTTTCTTCTTATCAGAGCTGGGCCAAGTATTATTTTAAATAGTAAATAGTAAATTTTCACCTTTTTGTGAGCAGCATTCAAACGAAAATCGATCTTAATTCAGTAGCCGTTCTTAAGAATAATAATTTATCGTTCAAAAATTTAAAAAAATATATAATTCGGTCGCGAAAGGGTTAAATCGTCGGCTTAGTTTATTTTAACTCTATCATGACCAGTGGAACGCACATGCCCCACTTGAGTATTCAAACAAAAATTGATCTTTACTCGTTCTTAAAAGTAACAATTTATCACTGAAAAATTCTGAAAAAATTCGGCCGCTGTTCTAGACTTTATAAAAATCTAACCAAATTCTAGGATGCTTGTTAAAGTCTCTACTGTATTATGCAATTGTTCGTTAAGCGAAATGTTTCCAACTTTTTTCCATGAAAATAAGAATTTATTCCGAAGAAATGCGGATCTGAAATGTCACTTGTGAACGAAATAAAAATAACGCAACACTGGTACACGGAACGGTGTTAAAAAGGAATGAAAGTAAATCAGTTCAAATTTACTCCGACGACCAAATGTTTTGTCGTCCGGGAAAGTCCTTGCACTTCAGATGTACTCGAAGTACCCGAGCTGCATTGAATTTTCCGAGGCCCTCTTAGACGACACTTAACATTTGGTCTGCAGAAATTTCTGTCGATGTCGACCTCATCAATTCGGCGTTTCCGTTTTCAACGGCCTCTCCTTTTTATATTATGAATTTAATATTTAAGAAATGAGTATTTTATTTTGCATCTACAACTGTATTCTGCTTTTTAGATTGTCGCTCGTGGGGAGTAAGGTTTTAAAACGTGGCCCCAGCTTGCGTCTAATGTGCCTTATGGTAAATACGGCCCTGCTTATGCATACACACAGTTGTTCGATCTTGAATTCTTTAGTAGTACTCGAAGATAGATTTTGTACTTTTTGCCGTACACATTTGTAGCTGTCTTTTTTTTTTTACAGTTTTATGAGAAATGATCATTTCTTGGATTCCCCAGGTGATCGATAGATTGTGCAATTTAATTTTCAGCTCAAAATTGGGTACGTTAAATATAATTATACCCGTTGGTCTCCATACCGGTCAAAAGTTTGGAATCACCGAGCATTGCAATTTGCACAAAAATTTCCAGAAAAAAGTCAGCGACCTTGAGAATGTTTTATCATTCGAATCAATCGATATGAGATAAATTGATAAATGTGGAATTGAGATAAACTTCAAATCTATAAAAAATTAGTGATTCTTAGTACTTAGTGAAAATTGAAAAATGAATATTTAATGAGATGTATTAGGTGTAAAGATAAATTCTTCCCGACTGGATTCGCATAATTGATTCGAAGCCACCGAGTTTCTATCGCGACGGTATTCGCAAACT